TATATAATCTGATGCAGAAGCTCCTTGCACTGAGAAGTAGTATTGGGAGCTCTGGTTTTCACCCGGTGTTTTCTAGTTGTTGCTGCCGGAGCAGCGGGGTGTCCGTGGGGGGTGGGGGAGGTGCTCTCTGTGATGAGGAAGCTCAGCTTGGAGACACAGCCCAGAGGAAGTGCTGATCCCAAAAGGCGGTTCTAGGCCCAACCGGTCATTTTTGCTCTCCTGCCCGGCTGCCTCAGGACAGCACAGGATTTCTCAAACATGCATGAAAGAGTCAAAACAAAAGTCTGGGCATGTTTTTGATGAGAGGATAACATTATACAAAGCTTAAAAAAGTTGATTTTACATATTGCCCCTTTAACTGATTTAATATACGTTTTGTGTTTTATGTTGTGTCTTTTATGATGTTTTAATTGATGTCTGAAACACTTTGTAACATTTGTTTAAAAAGGTGCTATACAAATAAAGTTGTTGTTGATGACGATTGAAGATACACCTGTTCTAGGAAAAGCACTGAATAATATAATTTGTGAATCCTAAATTAGACATTAGTAAAATTTTTAGTTATACAAAGATCTTCAAGAAAACCTAGATTTCAGTATATTATGTAGGCTTCGCGGGGTGGGAAGTACCCCATCACATTGCTAAGTATCACAGGCTTTAGAAGCGAAGTGTACATTACATTAACTTTTTAATCTAAACCTGATATAATTTTATTAACAACTGCAGTTAAGGGTTATGAGCGGTGCTTAGATTAGACTAAAATCTCATGATGGAAACGACTGAAGTAAAATGAATGGGTCATTGCTAAAGATCCCAGAATCTTTCCCAAGATAAGAAATTGATCTGCAGTCATAAAGATGGCCCTTACCACTTGTCTTTATGTTGGTTTGGGGCATGAGCTTTCATTCTCTGAGATGTAAGAAAAGAAACAGAAGAGTGATGAATCCCTTGAAAGAGTGCGTAATGTATGCCAGAACTTTGAAATAAGAAAATTTATGTTGAGAAATTATGACATTATTATTGCTTTGGTCAAATCTTGAAATGGATCTTTTGCAATATGCAATATCATGAAGTGTCTTGGGAAAAGTTCTCACATGGCACCAACATTTATCACTATAGCCATTTTTCTGTGTTGGATAAAGTCAATCATGTTACTTTTTGAAAATCTTATTGTGGTTCACCAGATATTTTGGTATCAGACATGCAAAAAATGTAAATGAATGCAAAAATTTATCATCCACCTTTACCAACTCCAGAGAAACCGTTGTGTATAAACCCCGATTTACAATGGATACAGCCCTGCTCCAACCTCGGCAGTAAATCCAACAAAAATATTGTGTTGTGATTTTTGCCATTTCGGTCAAAAGTTAAAAACAACCTTTTGTACAATCTTAAGGGCTATCTTACTTGATCTGATAATGGTTGGATTGTGTAGCGTGAATAACTCTCAGCTACCACATTAAGTTTTAGCTCCATATCAGTTGAATTTTAGCCATTATTATGTTTATGAAGATTGCTTTGCTGTGGCAGCCAAGTTAAATTGGATTTACTCCAAATGTTAATCGGTTGTAGATGCCAACCTAATGATTACTTTCTGCACCTTTCATGATAATCCCTTTTGTGATTTAAGAGATATTTTGCTGACATTACAGACAAATACACACGCAGTTCTGGACATAAACATATGTCGATTCCGCTTCAGCTGAAAGCAATAYAAACTCTGGAGAAAAGGCAGAAAACCAAATTGTTTGCTCTGGTTAAAAACAATATTCAGGAGAGGGAGAGAAGTTTCTGGGGGACAGAGGGTGCGACGGATCAGTTTTAATTGGTCCAGATCTGGTATCGGCACAGTGAAGCTTGTTGGCGGCACTGGAAGGAAGATTTTTATTAGCCAGAAGGAAAAACAGAGAGGAGACCAAGGATGACAGCACGAGAAAGAAAGATGGAGAATGAAAGCGAGGTATTGGCAAACACCACTGTTTAACAGGGCTGCTCAGATCCAAACACAGAGTTGGCCATTGATTGGTCGGTCGCAGTTAGGTCTTGGCACAGGCTGCGGCGACAGCTGCTTGGAAATGATGGAAGCCCCTGAGAAGGGAGAGCGCGACAACAATCCAGAATTACTGTGAAATTCTGTTGTCCCAGTCCATTTTCCCAACACAGCTCGGAACGCGGCTGACTGCAAAAGAAGAGACTGCAACAAATCGGCAGAAGAAAATAAAGCAGATTCAGACTGGGGAGGGCTGCTTTTGGTGCTGCTTGTTGCTAAATGAACATGTAATATTTTGACGCATTCCATCTTAAGTTCCCCTCTGAGGCTTGTTTGCGGGCTTGTTTCATTTCACGCCCTCATCTTAGTCCGGTGGGACGTATCATAAAGACATTAAGCGCTAAAGACGAAATGAAATTGAAGCGTGCCCGTTATTAACGCTCCCCGTGAAAAGGAACTAATTCACACCAATTCAAATCAGCCTATTTATTGGTAATCAAGTTGTTGTGTGCGAGTGGCTCTTGTGCATTGAAACAATAATCRATGTGATAATTACTCGGAAGTCTCTGCTTAATGTAAATCTCTATCCTAACATGGTGGGCTTTACCCAGTGGAGATCCAGATGGCGGTTTAACTATTCAGTCAACAGCTTTCCCAGTAGATTACAGCAAAATTGCGTAAATACAAGAGTTGTAATACAAAGCCAAAACACATTTTCAGATGGCATCCACTAACTTTCATATGATGCTTATTTTGTGCCAACTTTCCTTTGATAATAAAAGTAATATAAGCTACAGTTTTACCTTTTTTTGTATGCTCAGTAACACAGTGAGAAACCAGTTTCTTTTTCTTTTCTTTTTTCTTGACATTCAGCCCCTGGATGTCCACCCTGCAGACCAGAACTCTGTGGGGGGATGTGTGCATCTGGCTGTCAAATCCCACCACTGTGAGTATAGAAAACAAGCACAGGTGACGGCCCGGGACGCCTCGCGTTGTGGCACAGGGACCAGCAGCTGAAGCGCTTGTTAACCGTGTCGACAAGTGCCACCTCTAACTTGGATGACGAGTGTCGATCAGGTGGCCGGTACTTTACCRTGTTCACACGCGCAAATCTTTGGTTCGAAATCTAAATTCATCTGCATTCGCTCTCCTCATAAACACGGTCTGTGCGTTTAGCTTCGTGTCTTGTCTGCGTTGTTCTGAGTGGCATATGGCTCATTTTCTGTAAAGTGTCAGACTGTGTAGTGAGTCTGTGGCAGGTGCGTGGGATTGACACATACTGTAAATCTCTGCTTAACAGCACACAGAGTTAAAGGCGAGATCCTCTATGCAGAAGTAAATATGTTTGGAGGRAGGGRAAAAAATATTCTCCACACAAACAAGTTTGGTCGCCGTCACCTGTCTGTGGCCCTAAAACACACACCCACACACTCACTGACACTTTCACGCATACACACTGGGAGTCAGCAGATTCCGTTTTTTCAGAAGGTGACAGAAAGCTGCTCAGACGCTCTTCCAGGATTGTTTCAGTGGTGGGGAAACATCCTCTGAGGCTTGCTGTGAAAACAAACTGTCACCTGTCACCACAAAGAAAGAAGAGGAAAAAAATGATTGCAGAGATGTAATGAGACACTATTTTATGCTGGAAGTGACGCTCCTCGCTTTTTTCTTTCTTTCTTTTTATGATTTTGCTACTCTCTACCTGCCTACATGGCAGACACGTCCCACAGCGAGTGTTCCTCCTGATGCTCTGAATGAGATGTGCGGACGTAAAGAGGCTCGGGTTAATAAAGCATGCTCCATTTGCCGATGAAGTCTCAATGCAGGAGTGGGTAGTCTTGCTTTAAATCATGTGATCTGACTCCCTCTCAGCTCGGTCTCTCCCTCTCTTTTCCAGCTGGGCTACATTGTAACTCACACACTCTCTTTCACACACACACACACACACACACACACCAGCATGCTCGCTCGCACTCACTCTGCCTGCCTGACACAGACTCTCTACTTACAGCGTTGAAGGGAGGACTGAGGCTCACACTATCAGCACGGCTTCTCAATGGGGGGATGCAGCCAAGAGCAGACAGAGCGGTCATTCCACTGGAGCCTTCCGCTGCACGCGGGAGAGGGAGACGACGAGTGAGGAGGGTGAACTAGCCCCCCTCCCACCCACTCCCAGCCCACCTCTTTTCATCCCCAGCACAGGAGTTTTACTGACGGCTGTAGAGACACTGAAAATAAGAAGATCTGCACAAATGTGGCTGAAACAGCCGTGACATGACCATCCCTGTCCAGTTTGTGACAAAGCCTCACACCCTGAGTGTTCTGCTTTCATGGTGACTGTTTGTCTTGGGAAGGATTTTTTTTTTAAAGAACCTGAGCAGAAGAGGTCCTGAGGAGGGTAACACGAGGAAAAGCCTCCTTTTCTTCTTTTTTTCTGTGCTTACCTGGTGGTGGAATTTCAAGCAGCAATCCCCTTGGCTTCACAGAATGGATGGATTTAAGAGAGAGGAGTGAGTCTGCTGAGGAGACGGGCAGATTGTGACTGAGCTTCTTTTCCTCCTGAACACACAGCTCAGGTACGGTAAGGATGTGGGACATCAGAGGAATTCCTCTGGTGTTTGGGATGAAGCGCAGAGTTCCATGTGTCTGAGTTGAGTAAAGCTGATCAAAAGTGGCAAGCAAACAATGAAAAAAAAAAACCTGAAAAAAAATCCACCCCATGTTCCATCCCACAGATATTCCATCATATTTATGTTGTGAGGGTATGAAGAAGGAAAAGATGCTCAGCCTAATGAGCATCCCCATTAAGATACAGGACGTTCACTCTGATTGATTTTTTTCCCTCCTCTTCTTAAACAATCAGTGCTCGGTGCTGGGAGTCACTGCTGAAGTCGTCTCCCGCAGCAGGTGACATGCAGAGTGGGGCTGCTCTGATTTTATTATAGATTTGCTGCGTGCAGGTGCATCAGTGGGTTACGCGCCTGCAGGTGCTCCTGATGTTTTCCGCTCCGACCGTGTTCACTCTCTCCCGCTGGACCTGGCAATCTGCTGTCTGTCGCTGCGAATGTGTGACTGAACTCTTTTTTCTTCCCTTTTTCCCCCGTCTCAGAAAGCGAAGGGATGCTGTTGAAGAATTAGACAGCTGCGTGTAAAGCGCTTTGTTTTGATGCAAAGTTTCTGTGGAATGACGCGCGCAGTCATTTCATTAAAGTCCCCCATGAGCGCATAATCTGCTGCGATCAAGCTCATTTTATTTTCCATAAGAGCATCTTTAGATTACTGAAGATCCCCGGATCTCTGTTGAATATAGAGCTACAATGAACTGGGCGAGTGCAGCGCTCCTTTCTGAGTACACACTTCAAATCCTGCCTGGTGAGAACATATTGTGTGTTAAAGAAGAAAAAAAAACCTTGGGACCTGTTCCTAAAAGGAAAAAAAAGCAAAACAAACAAACATCATTCCAGTGTGTTTAGTGTAGGGGTGGGGGTGGCTATAATTTGAGTAATGACATGCTTAATTTTTACTGTTTATTAAGTAGCCATCCCAATGTCAATGAGGTTGCAGAACAGCCGGGTAATATTTAGCAGCCCTAATGGCCCCAATCTCATGCATATCAACACACAGAATAGGGTCGGCTTTGACACATTATTATTTTTTTGAAAGCAGCTTAAATTGAATTGAATCACTTCTTTGAAAAAGTTAAAAGGTTCACGACTGTAGAGACCTTCGTTTTATGCATTAGGATTTGGCATAAATAATAAATTTGCGGTTTCATCAGAGCTCATCAGATCAGAGTCAGCGACTCGCTGAGTCCTTTTCAGATAAAATACACGACGCTCACTTTAGAAAACTAAAGACCTTTTCAAGGTTTTCAATTTGTCTTAAATGAAAGCAATAGTCTCATAGACCTGAGGCAGGATGTAAGTTTGAAAAGCACAGGAAGACACACAATTGAGTTTGATTTAGAATAGGTGGGCGACTTTCCATTAGTCCTGATCAGGAGCAGAGACTCATTTTTCAGTCGGGATGAAGGCTTGTTTTCATCTGTTGGCCCTCACCAGGAGTTAGACAGGTCCAAAGCAAACTCACGAAAATGTTGTCAATGCTTTAGTGTAATTCCGCCATTTATGTAATAGTCATCCTCCCATGTTTTCAAGAGGGGGTTATTGCATTTTTGTCTTTGATTGTCACTAATTATTCTGTCTGAATTGGAAGAATTCCCAAACAAGTTGGAAAGGATCAACACATTAAACCTTCTCTACTTTTTATTTCATTGTACAACCTTCAGTATAGCTGAATAAATCACCAGGTGAATGTAGTCTCCTGTGTTTTTTATGCCGAATAATGCTAATGTCTACTGTTAACGTTTGGAGACATTTGTAACCTGGTTCTGTTGTTGTGCCCCCCCGCCTCTGTGTGCCGACCTGCAGACTCAGCCTTACCATGTCCTGGTTGTTGGTTGTGTGGATTAGCCTCGGCTTCCTGCTGCTGTGCCAGGCCTCGCTCTATCAGACCATCCAGCAGCACCACGTGGCCCGACCAGGGCGCACCGACATCCTCACCCTGGGTATGTGCCTCACCACTTTTTTTCAGTTTCAGCTTCACAGCACAGCAATAATACAGTATGACCTCACACTAGTCACCAGTTTCGGCTGTTTGGAAAAGAAAAGAATAGAAAGTGTTGCAGCATGTCAGAGTGACTTGCCACGTTACTATTCTCTGGTGATTCACAGTGCAAGAAAAACAAAGGTGAAAGCTGTTAATTGTACCTCTTACTTACGTTACACAACTTTGACTTTTAAAGGAAGCAAAGTGGTAAACAGACTTGCGTACCTCTTGACTTGCAGATATACTTGTTAGAACATCTAAGACTGAGAGATGACTCAACTGAGGTGAGGAATTCTCGACTAGAGTACCCTGAATCGAGCTGGCATGCAAGTAGGACAAGCTGTGGGCAACAATCCATATTACTGTGCTAGTAGCTAAGGGGAGCTTTGATCACTGTGGTTCAGATTGAAATGACAATTATGTTTCCCTCTTTTGCCCTGGAAATGCTTGGCAATTAGGCTCGACGCCTTCTGCACTGTAAAGGGCTAAAGGGGAGGGTAGACACAGAGGCGGATCTAATTCTCTGATTATGGAAAAGCTCTCTCGAACAGTGTATGGTGTATGTGGGAGTGCTACAAGGAAAGGATGTGTTTTTATAGAGCAAAGCAAATGCTATCCTTAAGCTTCTAACAATGAGTGTTACTTTCACGCTGAACCCTTACGCAGAGTGGGGCTTTCTCTGGATGCCAAGCGGCTGTTAAACATTGATGCTGTCYTCTGCTTGCTTCCGTTTGTGTGTGTTGCATTGCCAAGTAAAAAAGACAGTAATTGAAGCAGAGTAAGAGGAGAGGGAGGAAAAAATACAGCCCTGAATTCTCTCTCCTTGTGAACAATGGTGACTTTAAGCAGCATGTCAAAGAATTGGCTTACTTTAGCTCTGGAACMGCTGACACATGAAAATCCTAGCTAYGATAGATAGAAAGTTCTCAAAGCATTCCAGCTTCGTTAATTGGAGCAAGCAGTAAGGGATGAGCAACAGAGAGTTTGGAATAAATTTTTAAAGGATGACTTCCATATTTTCTCTTTTTTTTCTTTTTTTTCTTTTTTTTTTTTTGGTCTGGTTGGGAAGTCAAGCTTAGTGCCAAACAAGTACAAGGAAGTGCAAGGCTCAGTAAGTGTCTTTTTTGAATAATGCAGTGAACCAGAAGGGGAAGAAAATGAGAGGAAAAAAGAGCAGCCCCCGCACATCCCCTCTTTGACCCTTTCTTGTTGTAAATCTTAAAAAGTCATGCAGCTAAAAGTTTGTGCCGGTCTAGGGTTCACAAAGGTTTCCTGTCAGATGGATCAACTCACACGCTCAATGCTTAAGTGTCTATAAGAAAAGACTACATGATAGCACATTTACTTGATCTCTTCTTTACTCTAGCCATTACGGTGTGGCATTTTCATGGGTCCTCTGGGGAAACAAGAGCTGCGTTACTGACGCATCAGGTCTGAGAACATGCCCTGCATTGTAGGAAAGCATGAGATGCAAAATTATTTGTGCCAAGATTCAAATGTCTTTTTTTCATTATTGGCATCCTGTAGTCGGAGCCAATGTTTTAATTACATCATCACGGTGACAATACATGCTTTAAGACCGCAGAGAATTACTTTACAATCCTTATTACCCTTTAAGTAGTTGGTCTTTTTTGTTGTTTTTCACACTGATATGCTGTGAAAATCAGTTGTCTATAACTGCATTTATTGGGTCTTTTCGGCTTTTGTTTCAGAGCCTCTTTATGGTTCAATAGGTACACTTGAGTGAAGTGGATGTGATTGGTTTATACRTTAATGCGCATTGATTGGTCGAACAAGTTACATCGTTTTTCAGCACCTGCGCTCTTAATGCCACTTTTAAATTGCTATCGTAGAACTGTTGCTGTCTGCTAAGACAGGATTTTGAATGTGTAACGTGAGTCCAGGCTTCTGTAACTCCTTCCTAATGTTTGTTCCCCTTTAAACCTATAAAGCATAAACAAAAGTCCTACACCACACCTACAACTCCAATGTTGTTTGTGAGGGTTATAAGCGACGTGGCTGTGTGGACACCCTGGTGTTGAGCAATCACAGCCAAAACAAACAAGTAGGTCCTCAAAACTCCTTYTAAGACAAATGAATCCAATAATCCTCAGAGAGTCCTCATACCTGTTTGGGTCTAAAAATGTTTGCCTTCTTGTTGAACCCAGTCTGTCCTATTTCAAAATCTGGTTTTAAAAGTTTCTTCTGAAACAACTTTTAAGCAAAATGTGATGGACGACAGTCATAACTAGTTTTGACAATTAGGCTCTGAAGTTAGAATATTTTACAATTCTAATCAGCAAGCTTCCATGGGACGATAGTSTATTACAACCATTTACTCAAAAGGAACACATTTTAGTCCTGCTGCTTTGCAATTTACTGTATATCATGTATTTTTAAGAGGATTAAGCTGACATCAATCTTACTCAGCCGTGGAGTGGCTTTAACCGATCTAACCAGAACTTCTCTCTCTCAGAATTGAAATGCTGTGATAAATATTTGAATTAGGATTGATTTTAGAACTGGAGAAGCTCTCTGGTTTCATTGAGTCTAAAGGCATCAGCTATAAATAGCTATGTGTATGTAGGACATAGCAGAGAGAAAAATGAAATGTATTGTCCTCAAACATCCATTTGGCTAAGTAAAGTTACAAGATTTACATTTTCTGCCACGGTGCATTTTCTTGTTATGTGCTTGATTTAATGTATACATGTACACCATCCATTAGTAAACGTTAGCCATTTATAAACCTAAACCCTGATGGATGATATTAAGGAAATCTCCTTTCATATGCCTTGCATTACGCCATGCTACTGTATTGTTTTCTGAACAGTCATGCTCCAACTTTCAAAGGGACATTGGGGCTTGGACATCTTCCCAGAAAATGAGCTTTTGTAGAGCTCAGAATGCAGCCAGGAGGGCTGTCTGAGAGACAAAGTGGTTCGAAAGCTAACACCTATCCAACATCGACCAAAATAAACACAGAAAGGGATACGTGGGTATCTATAAAGGGGAGGCAGTGTTTAAGCATCTAACAGTGGCTGTTCTGCCTCCTACAACTGCACTGGAAGATAATAATAAAACATTGAATGTAGAAGTAAAGTTTCAAATATATATATATAATTTTTTTTCTCCCACAGCCAGCAAACAGCCATCGTAGATGAAGAGATTGAGTAACAATTTTCGCGGCTGCGTCGTTACCGGCGCACAAAACCGGCTCCGCTCTCTTTCCCATGAGCCTCTGCTTCACACAGTCTCCCCTGCGTCCTGCTTGTGCGGCTGAAGATTGATGGTGTCCTGATTCCGGGCAGCCAATTCTGGTCTCTCAAGAAATAATCCACTACATTGACAGATGAGCTGAATGTGACATGACATAAACAAGCTGGGCAATGCACTCTCTCCACCTGCCAACGCTGAGCTGAAGTGCTCACTGCCAGCTCTGCTGCTGCTGCTGCACAAACCAGGCCACTCTTCACTGCACATACTGGACTCTGTCAAAAAACCAGTAATGGTCTGACCAYTCCATAATATCCACACCTTACTGCAGGAAATTTGTGCAAACTGGGCATCTTCCAGTGCTAAAATTAAACTGTTCAAAGACGTTATTTGTCTGTGTTATCCCATTAAGTTACACTTAGAAGTTAAGAGTATTTATTTACTCCTCGTTTAGTGAATRTAGTTCACATTATGCCAAGGCCCAGGGGTGCGATGTGAATCTAACAGCATTTAGGCTGCTGCTTTGTTTATTATATCTCTGACAGAGTAGCTTAAGCAAGTTTCGGATACAATTTAACAGAAGAGGCACAGCTAAAGCACTCATTTTAACTTGTTAGAACTTGAAAAATAGGTCAGTTTTAAAAAACTGAAATCTAAATGCTTTAAAACAGAAAATTTTAAACTTTATTTTCCCGTGTATGTACACACACACACACACACACACACACACACACACACACAC